GTGGAGGAGGCCATGTTGGTAGAATTGGTGCAGGTGGTGGAGGGGATGGGAGGAGGGGGAGGAGGAGGAGTGGATGGGAGTGATGGGGCAGAAGTGATGCTGATGGTGGAGGAGGCCATGTTGGTAGAATTGGTGCAGGTGGTGGAGGAGGCGATGATGGTAGAATTGGTGCAGTTGGTGGAGGAGGTGATGGGGAAGGCGATGGTGGAGGAGACGATAATGGAGGAGGTGTGATGGTAGAATTGGTGCAGGTGGTGGCAGAGGCAGTGCGGGAGGTGATGGGGGAGGAGGCGATGGAGGTGGAAGGGATGCCAGTGGAAGAGGCGATGGTGAAGGAGGTGTGATGGTAGAATTGATGCAGGTGGTGAGGGAGGCGGTTGGGGAGGTGATGGTGGAGGAGGCGATGATGGAGGAGCTGTGATGGTAGAATTGGTGCAGGTGGTGGGGGAGGCGATGGTGGTAGAATTGGTGCAGGTGGTGGAGGAGGCGATGGTGGAGGAGGCGATGGTGGTAGAATTGGTGCGGGTGGTGGAGGAGGTGATGGTGGTAGAATTGGTGCGGGTGGTGGGGGAGGCGATGGTGGTAGAATTGGTGCGGGTGGTGGAGGAGGCGATGTGGAGGAGGCAATGGTGGTAGAATTGGTGCGGGTGGTGGGGGAGGCGATGGTGGTAGAATTGGTGCGGGTGGTGGGGGAGGCGATGGTGGTAGAATTGGTGCGGGTGGTGGAGGAGGCGATGTGGAGGAGGCAATGGTGGTAGAATTGGTGCGGGTGGTGGGGGAGGCGATGGTGGTAGAATTGGTGCGGGTGGTGGAGGAAGCGATGGTGGAGGAGGCGATGGTGGTAGAATTGGTGCGGGTGGTGGGGGAGGCGATGGTGGAGGAGGCAATGGTGGTGGAAGTGTGATGGTAGAATTGGTGCAGGTGGTGGGTGACGCAGTGAGGAGGTGGAGGAGGTGATGGAGGTGGAAGGGTTGCTGGTGGAGAAGGTGATGGTGCAGGAGGCGATGATGGTAGAAATGGTGCAGGTGGTGGCGGAGGCGGTGGGGGAGGTGACGGTGGAGGAGGTGATGGAGTGGAAACCACAGTGGCGGTCCCCAGTGGAGATCCTTGTGGAAGAGGTGGCCATAGCAGTGGCGTCGCAGTAGGAGGCTGGTGGTTGGCACTGTGGGTAAGTCCAGCCTTCTCCTCCAGGCGCTCTCCCCAGCCGGGCTCTGGGTCAGCTCTTCTCTCCCAGTCTGGGCTTTCACTTCTGCTAAGGGGCTCATACCCACCGCCTGTCCTCCTCTTGGGGTGCCCAGGTGACACAAGGACAGCAGTGGTGGGCTGGTGGGAGTGATCTCGGGCACCAGACAGGATGCTGATGAGGGGAAGGTGGTGATGGTGACAGGTGCACTGATGGGGGGCATTTGGGCTGCCTCTCCCGACTGGCACTCACACCTCTGAGCCTCCAGGCTAGGTTCCGGGGGGCTGTGGGGGATGGAAGCCAGGACAAAAGCTGCTCCTGGTAAACAGCTCTGACTGGAGCCCAGATCGATTGGGGCTGTGAGGAGCTGTAATTAGATTGAACACTGGGAAGGGGGGAGAGGGGAGCCTCTTTTTGCTGTGATCGACAAAACACGAAGTTTTTTCATGACTCTGCTTGGCCTGGCCCCTCCCCCAGCCCCTGCCTCTGGGGCCCCCATTAGGCACTTGATTGGAGAAGGGGGAAGTAGGGGGAGAGAGGTGAACCACGTCTTACCTCCCTCCCATTCTGGGCCAGGGCCAGTCCACCGTGGCTCCTGTCCTGCCCATGCTGGGACTTGCTGGGCAACCTTGGGCAAGTGGCTTACCTTCTTGGAGTAAGTAAGGAGAACAATCCCTGCCTAATGGAATTATCATAAGGATTAAAAGATAAGAGACATGTAAGCCTCTTGACATGTAAAGCTCTTGTGAGCTTTCTTTTTTGTTTTCTTTTTTTTTAAAAGTAAGGTTTACGTCCAATGTGGGTCTTGAATTCAGGATCCTGAGATGGAGAGTTGCATGCTCTACCGACTGAGCCAGCCAGGTGTCCCTCTTCTGAGCTTTCTGAGGATCATTTGTATCTTTGTCCCTGCTGTAAATGTGTGATGTATTTGTGAGTAAACTGCTAAGTGAATGAAGGAACAAGTGAATCAATTAATGAATTGAAGATTACAACTGGTGGGCAAGGAGGGCCTCTTCTGAAATTTAAAGGCCTGGGGCTGAGTCTTGACTCTTACCCTGGACTTGATGCTGGAGACTCAGCTTTCTCTTTGAAAGAATGGGGGACTCGGTCCCTCCCTTGACCCTTGACCCTTGACCCTTGAACAGGGTGGCTAAGTTCCAAGGAGATGGGAGGTCAGGACAGGTCCTCCCACTCCTTTCCAACATTTCTTAATGCAGACAAAATATGAGCTTATGTTTTTGCTTCCCTCTTCTGTACATAAAAGGCTGCCTGGTGCACTGTTCATCTGCCTCCTTTTGCCTCACCATCTTTCCATATCCACACCACACCCTTTCCCTCTGTCAGCTTCTCAGTATAGTTACGAATACAGTCTTTTGCTTAAATCAATATTCAGCATTACATTATTATGCTTTCAGCGAATATTGTCCACATCTGAGCCACACAGAGCACTAGGATTGCATTTTTCTTTCTTGTACAACTGTTTGTTTTTCCAGGAGTTAGTAGTTGCCTATCACAAGTTCTTCCCACACTCCCCAACAAAAATGCAAACCGACTCAATAGGATTTTCCACACATATTAGGTCATGTCCCCTCTCCACTTCCCTCGGTGCTGGATGGGGCTGCCCTCCACGTCCTGGGTGCCTCTGTTCCACGGTCTTCTAGGCTCTGCCCTCTCCATCATCTGGAGGATCCTCTCCTTTTCCGGTAGGAAAGTCACACTTCCTGAATCCCACACTTTACTTTTTTAATTTACCCCCTCATTTTGGTGAAACACATCCTCCAGGAGTTTTCTGAGAAAGAGGGCACGGAAGCCAACTTTTGGAGACTTGGACTCGTCCGACCTTGTCCGATTCCACCCTCCTGCTTGATGTTTGGCCGGGCATACAGTTCTAGCTGAATAGAATTTCTTTCAGAATTTCGAAGGCATTAGTTCACCATCTCCTAGTTTTTGAGAAGCCAAAGCCACTCTGACCCTTAGTCCCCCCCAGATGTCTGGCTTTCCTCTCTGGGAGCTTTTACTTTATTCTCTTTATTCTGGGTCTCAGGACTCTCACAAGGATGAGCCTCAAGGAGTATCTTTATTCACCCGTCGAGCTGAGCACTTCATGGCATGGACTCTTTTAAGCGGACTCTCATGTCCTTCAAGCATGCATTTTTTTTTTCATTATTTATTTGGTCATCTCTTCCTCTAGTTTTCGATTGCCTCTGAATCAGCTAGCAGACCTGCCCAATCCACCCTGTATTGTCACCTTTCTCTCATTTCCCATCTTGGCATTTGCCTTGTCCTATTTCTGGGGATACCTCCTTAACGCTGTGTTCCAGTCCTTACGTTGATTTATTCCAGCGATTATATATTTAATTCAAGAGCACTGTCTTCCCTTTCCATTGTCCTTTTTATTGAACAGCATCCTGTTCTCGTTTCATGGATACAGCACTATTCTCTTACCCCTCCAAGAGTATTCGTTATAGTTTTGCCTGCTTTGTCTGTGTCTTGGTTCTCCCCAGAGTGTCCTCCCCCTCCTCCATTTTTTCCCCCCCGCATTGGTCTCCTCTCTCTCTCTCCCTCCCTCTCCCTTCTCTCCCCCTCCCTCCCCTTCCCCCTTCCCCCTTTCTCTCTCTCCCTCTCTCCCTCTCTCCTCTCTCTCTCTCTCTCTCCCCCCTTAAAGGCTTTTCTTAACTGTCCAGTAATCTCCAAACATCACCCTTATTTAATCATAAAACCTGAAAGAGCCCACTGGAAGTGCTGTGTGTTTCAGGTCAGGGGGAGACAGGGAGTGAAGTGTGGTGTCAGTTCTCCTGGGAGAACCCGTTGTCCCTGAGAAACGAGCCACAGCACAGGGAACAGGAATCTATTTTTACAGATGTGTGTGGACATTGATCTGGCATGCCATCTGGTTCAGACTCTTCCAGAGCCAAAACAAAGCCAGTTTGGTGTGTGGTCTCAGTGGGTCACCAGGCTGGGTGCAGGGTTCTGCTAGTATAGCAGAGGGTGGTGACAGACTAGCGGGAGTGGGGAGTTGGTGGGGAGGCAGGAGGGAGCAGGCTCTTCACCTCCTGACTAGTACCCGGTGGAGAAACTGAGACTCTGATAGAGCCCCTGGAGGGAAGGAGCCAGTGCAGGCTGGTGAAGTTCATCTTTTCCAACCCCTGGCCCCACCGCATTGAGGGGAGGGGTCCACTTTGGAGCTGGGGCCCGCGGAGCAGCCTGGGGTCCTGCTCAGCTGCCCTGAGGTGCTGCCCACTCCCCTTTGCAAGCATCCACCAGCCGGGGTGGGGGTGGGGCGCGATGGGGGGCCTTCTGCAGCCTTCTCTCTCCTCCCAGCGGAGGTGGGGGGTCGGTGCTGCATCCCCCCACTCTTCCTTAGATCCTCCCAGCTCCAGAGGATCCCTTGGGCACTTGAGGGAGGCCAGGTCTGGGCCTCAGCCTCCTGGGGTGGAGGTGCGGGTGGGAGGCCTGGGTCCCGGAGTCAGGGCTACGTCAGGTCAGCCTCACGACACAGGGTCCCTAAGCTGGTCAGGCCTGACTGACAGCCCGGGGAAGGAGACACAGGCTGGTACTCCCGTCATTGGGGTGGGGGGCGTTTACCTGGGGTCGGGGACACACCCCAGGGACCTGGTAATTCACGGCTTCTCCCACGCCGTCTAACTGAGCCACAGAGCTCGCACGTAATGTCCCGCAGCGTCCCGGCGGCCGCGAGACGCGGCAGCGCGGGGTCAGGGCCCCGGGGGGCGGCGAGGAGGGCGAGCCGGGCCCGTGGAGCCGCCCTCACGCCGTGTCCCCGCTTTGTCTCCCGTCCCGCGCGCCGGGCGGCCCGCAGCGTGCAAGCGCAAGGAGCAGGAGCAGCAGAAGGAGCGCGCGCTCCAGCCCAAGAAGCAGCGCCTGGTGTTCACCGACCTGCAGCGGCGCACGCTCATCGCCATCTTCAAGGAGAACAAGCGGCCGTCCAAGGAGATGCAGGTCACCATCTCGCAGCAGCTCGGCCTGGAGCTCAACACCGTCAGCAACTTCTTCATGAACGCGCGGCGCCGCTGCATGAACCGCTGGGCCGAGGAGCCGGGCGCCGCCCCCGCGGGCCCCGCCGGCGCCGCCGCCACTTTCTCCAAGGCCTGAGCCCTCGCGCCCCCCCCCGCCCCGCCCCGCCCCGCCGGCCCGGTCCCGCCCCGGGGGGGGGCGCTGGAGGGGTTCAGCCCGCCCCCCAGCCCAGTGCACAAGAAGGGCCCCTCCTCCCTCCCCCCCCCGTCCCCTCCAGGCCAAAGGGAGCCCTCCACCCCCCCAGAGGGGAGGGGGTGGCAGAAGGGGCTCCCCACCTCCCTCCGTTCAGGACGCCCAGAGGGCCTCGGGCAAAACCAGGGCTCCCCGCGTCGTCCCCGAAAGCGGGTCAAGAAGCACATACTAGAAATATAAACCGGGTATTAGAAGGAATTTTGAGAATAACCCCTCCTTCGCCAGCCCCCGCCCCCACGGAGGGAGGCCGGAGGAGCCCTCCTCCCCAGCGGTCCCCCCCTTCCAAAGTCGCCAAAAACCCCCGTCGGGCTGGGGGTCCTTGCAGCGCCCCACCCGCACCAAGACCAGCCCCTCCGCCGGCAGAACCGCCCCACAACCGAGAACCCAGCTGCCCCCCCTCCCCCGGCCACCAGGGTTCCTTGTGCCAAGAATCGCCTGCCTTAACGTCTGGGGAGGGGTCGCAGCGGAGCCGGCCGGCGCCCCCAGGTGGGCAGCCTCCCCCAGCCCGCCCCAGACTGGTGGGGGCGGCAAGCTCGAACATGCGGGTACATTCCAGACGCCTCCTTCCCGGCGCCCCCTGTCAGTTCACTTTACCTTTAGGCACCTTGATGACACACAGGGAGAGACAGACCCCGGGAAACAGAAAAAACAAAACCAAAAAACCCATCCAGATTCCACGAGGAGAAACCAGCGCAGAGAGAGCGCGGGAGCCCACCCGGAATCCCTGCATGCTGGGGCCATGGCGTGGCCACCTGCGTGGAACCTTCTGGAACTCACCCACCACCTCCCAGCGCTCAGGGCTGCCGCGCTGGGCCTGAAGGGGAGGCAGGGGGCGAGCCTGTGCTTGCGACTCTCTCTCCAAAGGGATAAAGAAGATGCTGAAGAAGGTGGAATCGGCTTGCTCCATTTTTTGCCAAAAAAAAAAAAAAAAATTGACGAGGGGGAAGGAAGGGTCAGAAAAGAAGATGAGCACCCCCCCAGACCCCCCTGCTCGTCTCTCTTCCCTTCCTGGTGACCTCCAAGGTGACCTCCAAGGCTGGCCGGCAGCTGGATCCTGAGAACCCCCCCTTGCCCACGGTTCAATATCTGGAGGCTAGAAGGAAACTCACCCCCCAAAACCCCGAGCATCCACTGCCTCCCAGGGAGGTAGTCACCCCCTCCCCCCTTGAGAATGCAAAAGACATTTCTAGTGAAATGCCCCTCCCCCTCCCCCAGGTAAAGGCTACCTCACTCAAACGTTCTTGTCTGTGATTGGATAAATCACGCCTGATACCAAAGATTCCCCCCAAGGACCTGTGCTGGATGCTGGAATTCCCTCGCCTGGGACCAGGTGTGGCCCAGGGCCTGCCCGGCCCCGCCCTCCAGGTGTGCCCCGCTCCCCAGCAACGACAGAGAGAGAGACAGAGAGAGAGAGAGAGATGGAGGGAGGGGTGGGAGGGACAGAGAGTGAGAGAGAGACAGGGAGACGTGAAGGAGAGGGAGGGAGGGAGGATACTGAGGTCGATGAGTGCCTTTTTCTGGAACCAAAGATGTGTGTGAAATGTTCTCTTGTCCTTATCGACTCGCTATTCTCCCAGCTTTTTAAGCAACCAATCTGAGTGATACTTCTAGAACCTTTGGGTGTTGGGGCAGAATCCTAAGAGTTCCTGTTCCCGCTCAGCAACCGACCCCCCCCCACACACAGGCCCTGCTGTCCTTTCTGGGGCGGGCCTGGGTGCCGGAGTCTGGGTGGCCAGACCCCTTCCTTCCACCTCTGTCACCTGGCCCCATTGGACAGGGTGCCTGCTTGCAGGGGACAGGGCTTCTGGGACACCCCCTGCTGGGTAAGTCACTTGCTCTTCCCAGCATTTAAGGTCCAAGGATCAGAGGCCAGAGGTCTCTGTTCTGTCCCTGGATGGATAGTTAGGAATTGGCTTGGGACTGTTCTGGTTGTGGAACTTTCTAGCTATGGTGGCCTGTGGTCAGATCAGGTCAAGCCCCACCAGCCCGGGTCACAGAAGCATCCCTGGATTCCGGGGTCCCTTTCAAACACTCACTCACACACACACACACACACACACACACACACACACCAGCTCCAGTCCAGCCCCTCCAGGGGCCCTGACCCCCCCAGACCCCCCCCAGTGCCCCTCCCCCCGGCCCCACCCCGCTCTCCCTGACACCCAGCTGGTTGTCACATACCAAAGACCATTCTCCTTGCAGGGAATGACACCTCCAGCACAGCTCCTTCGAGCCTTTGACAATTTTCTCTGAAATACCTCAAAATATTTAATGTATAGTTTATGTGATAAAAAAAATCCTTAGCTAGTTTTTGGAATACGTGACTTGAAGCTTTATACCGTTAAATTATAATTTTGCAGACGATGGTATGTCATTTCTTTGAAGAGTTCCGTGGGAGACATATTGAATGTCAGGGCAGTGAGAACCGGGTGGTCAGAGGCCAAGGGCAGGGCAGTGGGGGTCAGCGGTGGGGAGCGCAGGACCGGCGTTTACAGATTTCTTACTCAAACGAGTCCTTTAGGAAAGACAGGAAGAGAGAGAGAGTGTACCTTTCTGTTCTCTGGCGTGTTCTGTTCGTTTTTTGGAGTCATGTCTTATAAGAGTATTTATTATTCTATGTGTTCTGTGTTCAAATGTAATTTAATGTAATTTAAGAAAAAAAGTTAGGAAAAATCAAAAAAAAAAGACAATGGAATTTGATTTGATGCATGACTAATGTGCTAGGTGGGGGGGGGGCGGGGGGGGCCGGGCCGGGTCAGAGCCCCGGGGTTCCGTGTCGCATGGTTGTGTTTCATGCCTGAGTTCCGTCGGTGCTCCTTTCTCCCTGCTCTGTGTTCCTTCCCCCCCTTTCTAAGGATCTGTGTCCGGCGGCGGGAGGGGGACAAGGCCTTGGGCTGCCAGGAAGGTGGAGGAGGCCGCAGGGCCTCCGCACCCAGACCCAGACCCACACTCCGCACCCAGATCCCCCGGGGCCCACACACCACCTGCCTGTGCCAACCGGGTGGGGGATCCTGGGCCTCCTGCTCCTGGTTCTTGGGTGCAAGTGGGTGTCGCTGCCACCTCGGACCCTCCACCCCCACCCAGCTGGTTTCACGTGAGCATGAATTCCCAAGTGTCTTGTTCAGAGGAGAGAGACAATCAGCCAATGCGAGTCTTGTCGCCCAGGGTGGTGGGGGCCAGGGTGTACCCCAACCTCCCGAGATCCCAAGGGCCCTCCTGAGACACCCCCGCCCCCAGGCAGGCACTCAGCCAGGCTCCACCCATACCCTCAGCCTCCCTGGCCCTGGGCTGGATGTGACTTACCCTTTGTCTGGCCTGGGATGTAGGGCCGGGGTGCACATCTGTGGAGCCCTCCCTCCCAACCCATGTCAGGACCCTAGAGAACAGAGAGCTCCCCAAAACTATCCATGAAAGGGGGCTCTGGGGCAGTATCCCCGCCTCTGACTGCACTTCTGCTGAGCTCCCACTAGTGGGAGCTTCCAAGACTGGCCCCAGGAGGGGGGGGGTTGGGGTAGTGGAAGGAGCCCCTCACCCTTAAGGAAAGAGGCCCCAGACTGGAGAGGGGGGGAGGCATATTCCAGGACCTCCCCCCCCCCATCCAGCCCAGCACTGCCTGGGATTTGGGCCATCCCACTTCTGTAACCAAAGCAGGGTGAGCCGCACCAGCCCCCCCCAGACCCTTGGGCTCCCCGCTGTGGCCCTGGCATGCCCCCAAGGGCTGGTCTTTGGGGGGATTCTTTGCAGCCAGGGATGAGGGAGGGCCACGTGGCCGTGTGGCCCTGAGTGTTTAACCAAGACTAGACACTAGGGCTGCTTTCTGGGGAGACACCCCCCCCAAACGCTAGAGGGCACAGAAGCCCTCTCCTTCCCACCCTCAGGTGACAGGCTTAAAAGTTAAAAAAAAAAAAAAAAAAAAAAGTCATTGTTAACCATTGCTGTGCTGGATTTGTTTTGTTTTTCTCCAATAAATTATTTTCTACTCACTCACCTGGACTTGTGTGCTGGCGGAAGGGGGGCGGTGCCGGGGGATAGGAATGGGGCACCGGGAGGCGAGGGGAGTCGCCTGGAGCGGAAGGTGGCTCCTTTGAGGGGAAGCCACCAGGGCAGCGTGGTTGGGGAAGAGGCTGCAGGGACCAGGGCTGGACCTGACCTAGTGCCCTGGGAGGGCCCCCCCGGGAACCCCCGGTAGCCGGCGCGGGCTGAAGAAGGGCTGGGGGCGGGGGCGGGGGCGGGGGCGGGGGCTCTTCCTGCAAATCCCCCTCCCGGTCACTAGAGGTCAGTGTGTGGGTTTCTAAACCGAGGACAGCCCTAGTTTAGGAAAAGAAGGAGCCTCGAGGAGCACAGGGGGAAGGTGGACCCTGGTTTATTCGCAAAAGAAAAGGACACCGAGCCTCGTCTTCCGGGGGCGGCCCCGGGCGAGCAGGTGCACGGCCCCGGGGCACCGGCAGCCACTACAGGGACGACAGCCTCCTCCCCGGGCGGGAGGGCCCGTCCGCGGAGGACTCTCCGGTGGGTGGGGGTGTGGGCGGCCCCACGGCGGGGAGGGTCTGGCTGCGCAGCGGCGCCGTGCCCTCCCTGGGCGGCTGCAACTTCTGCCGACTGTAGGGCCGGCTCTTCCAGGAAAGGAGCGGGGACCTCCATGCGGACCGCTTCTCCTCCAGCGGCGCCGGCTGGCTCTGCCCAGACGGCTGGCCCCAGGGCTGCGCCGCGCTCCCCGAAGGCAGCGGCTCGCTTTCCTGCTTCCTCGGCAGCGACTCCTGGAAGCACAGCGTGCCCGCCGTGGCCGTCGAGCTCACCGCGCGGGCCGGCGACATCTCTTCCGAGGACACCTTGCCCTGGTGCTGGTGCCTCTTCTTCCCCAGCAGGGACATCTTCCTGGAGAACCGGAATGACTCCTTCATGCCTGGGGACAGCTCTTCTTCAGATGGGATTGTGTGGTCAACCAGCATGTCGCTGTTGACCCCCGGTGCCTTCCGCAGAATGGTGCCCTGAGTGATGAGTTCCGCGTAGCCCTCGCGGTGGGAGAAGGCATAGCTGGAGCGCCGGCCGCGCGACCCCCGGTGCAGGTAACGCCCGGGCTCCACCGGGATGATCTCCTCACTTGGGGCCTCCTCCACCTCCTGCAGAGCAAAGAGGAGAGCCAAGGTCACCAGGCTCCCGCGGCGCCCCGTGGGCTGCTCTCGGCTCACCTGCCCCCAGCGGGCACCATTCAGAGCCCTTCCTTGGCCACCACCGACTGACCCTTCCCTACCCGAGTTGCACGAATTAAGAGTCCTCTCTGAGACTGATTTTGGACCAACCCATGCGTCCTTCCCTGGGACCTAACCCCGACCAGCCACCAGGGGCCTCGGGTGCCCTCTGGTGGCAAAGCCAGGCCAGGCGCACCTGGGACAGCCATGTGTCCAGCCCGCGGGGCCAAAGGTGGCAGGTTTCTGGCCATGTCTTGGTCCATTATTCCAGTCAATTCTAGGGCCCATCCCAGCTGCAACCCTCCCTTCTAGGTTTGGGTTTTTTTCATTGTAGTAGAATATGCATAACGCAAAATGTGCCATAGTAATCATCTCTAAGTGCACAGCTCCGCGGCATGAAGCACACTCACACGGTCCTGCAGCAACCCCCACCCGCCGTCTCCAGAACGTTCCATCTCCCCACACGGAGACTCTGTCCCCACCCCCTGCCCCAGCCCCGGCTCCCACCCTCTCCTCTGTCTGTGTGGACGGGACTCCTCTGGGGACCTCCTGGGAGTGGGGTCCTCCTGCGGGATGTGTCCTTCTGGGTCTGGCTCCTCTCACTGAGCCCAGTGTCCTCGGGGTCCCTCCGAGTCACGGCAGGTGTCAGGGTCCCTTCCTTCCTGAGGCTGGAGCGTGTTCCCGCGTGGGGATGGACCCCACTGTGTTTACCGGTTCATCCTTCAGTGGACACTTGGGGTGCTTCTAAGTCCCTTCGCTTCCCTAAACGATTTCCTGTCATCTGGACCCCCAAGCCCCGAACATCTGGGGGTGGACCCTGGGGCCTGTTATTTGGTCCCCCTGAGGGCACTGGGGGTGTGCCTGGGGGGTGTTTCTGCTCCCAGCACAGGCTCCGGCTGAGGGGGGGGTCCCAGGAGTGTGTGATGGGGACCCCAGCCCCCTCACCTCAGGGCCTGCCTTCTTGAGCGCTTGGCAAATGACACGCAGAGCCAGTGTGGGCAGGGTGTTTAGTGACACATTCAGCAGGATGACCAGCAGGATGGAGGGGTGTGACAGAACGTTGCAGTCAGCATCTGGTGACAGGTCAGAGTCACAGCTCGGCCCCAGTGGAGCCTCCCCAGAGTCTTCTGGGTGCCCCCTCCTCCCGACACCCAAACTCACACCTCTCCCTCTGCCCCCAGGACACCTTTGTGCAGACGCCCAGAAGGCACCAACCCCCCTGCGTGGCACCCCTGCACAGCTGAGAACACAGAGGCTCGGAGGGGGCACCGCGGGCACTCTGGCGTGGATACACCCCTCTCCGGGGCCCGCCACCCCGTTCCCTGCTGGGGGCTCACACAGAAATGGGAAGGTCTTGGGTGAGATTTGGAAGAGCCAGAAACTCTGGCTGGCCCAAGTTGCAACCATGTAGAAGCAGAGACTGAGGAAAATGGCCAGCACGGACAGGACCGTCCAGTACCTGATGATGAGTATGACCTGAAGGGGGAGGGAGGCTTAGGCCAGGGTGGTGCCAGGAACCCCGGGGCTGGGCTCCATGGAACTGGGTGGGGGCTGAGTCCCCAGGGTCCACGAAGGCCACCTGCTAAGGCCCCCTGGCAGGGTCACTGAGCGGGGACACCTCAGTGGCTCGTGTCCAAGGCCCCCCTGGGGCGGGACAGGCTGGCGGCCCTGCCTACCTCCATGGTGATGGACAGCAGGCCCGACATGGCCACAACCACAGCGAAAGACTGATAGTCGCTGAAGCTGACAGGCCCAGCCGAGTCATGGCTGACCCACAGGGTCACGAAGAAGTTGACCAGGGAGGTGACTGTGCCGTGGGCGAGGGCCTGGAGAAAGACCCGGTAGTTAAAGAGCTCGTCCTTCTGGCCTGCAATATACAGCTCGGGCAGCTCCAGGCTCCGCTCGGCACTCACGTCCTGGGGGTGGGGCATGGGGGGGGAGTGGCAGGCTCTTGGGACCAGGTGGGGAGTTGGGGACAGCCCCATCCCCATGCCAGGCCCCCCAGGGTGGGGAATTGCAGGGCAGACATGGGAGCATCTCCAGGGAAGGAGGAGACAAGGCCTGGGTCTGCTCACCTGCTCAAAGAGACCGATGTACAGAATGGGGAGTGTGCTGTAGAGCAGGTTGAAGAAGCCCAGGAACCAGCCTTCATACAGAGGCTGGTGGGGAGGAGACGGGGAGGGGGGGGCACGGTCAGCCTTCAGCCGGCCAGTGGCCAGAGAGAGAAACAAGTCTTTACCCGAGGAGCCCTACCCAAACTAGCTGGACCCCTGGGGAGGCTTCCAGGTGAGCGGGGAGGTCAAGTTATAATGAAGGTTGGTGCTAAACCAGGGTGGGCTATGTGAGGCTTGATGAAGGCTGGAAGATAAAAGGCAGAGAGGAAAAGCGGGGTCCAACTATTGCAAAACTGCACCTCTGAGTCCTTGTTTTAATGGGATGGCTTCAATGTAGAAATACAGGAGGGAAAATGGCTAGAGGATGTGGGGGGTTTGGGTCATTTTAGGTTTAGGGGGATCACTATGTGGAAGAGCCCTCACAGGCAAGTAGGTCTCCTGATGATGAATCCAATCCAGTTAACAGAACATGAGCATCAGCTCTGAAAACCACCTTATGTGCATTCGGGTATTGAACAGAAAAGTTAAAAATACGAAATTTTACAAGAATGAAGTTTCTCACTGTTGGAGAAAAGACTCACAAATGAGTACATGGAAAAGGCTAAGCTGAGCCTTGTCCCGTGGGACTGGAATCAGATGGACTGCTGTGAACTCATAGTTTTTCATATACACAAACATAGAGACAAGGCCAGACAGACACTGATACAGATGTGTGTCTCTACGGGGTTAATACATGTCCACTTTGCAGCTCTTGTCAACTGAGAGGGGAATCCAGTAGCATCCCTGTGAGCACACCTGGCACTTAGAGCTTGGTGTCTAACTACCAAGAGCCAGGACTCCTTACAGGAATGGCTGATTCCAGAGCTGCAGCAGGGGAAATACAAAACGAGCATGGAGCCTCCTACAGCACCAGAAAGTGGGGGTGTACTCAGAGAAGAGCAGGCACATGTCAAAAGGGACAAATCAGGGACAATCTGAGCAACAAAGGATACAGTAAAATAAATACCCATGAGTCTACACTGATAGAAATAAATATTGAATAAATAAATGGAGGAGAAGCAACAGTTCTTCCAGTTAACAAATGTGGAAGAAAACAACAACAACAACAACGACACCTAAATGCTGTCCTGCGAAGAAGATCCAGAACAAAACAGGAAGCCTGCTTTCAACACTGTTATTCAACATTGCGCTGGAAGTCCTAGCCAGAGCAATTAGGAAAGAAAAAGAAATAAATGCTATTGAAATAGAAAAGGAAGAAGTAAACCTATCTCTTTGCAGAGGACCTAAGTCTATATGCAGAAAAATCCCAAAAGGACCCACAAGAAAGCTACTAGGGCCAATAAACAGATTCAGCAAAGTTACAGGGCACAGACCAAAACTCAAAAACTCACTCGTGTTTCTATACACCCGCAAGGAACAATCCCCAAAGCAAATTAGGAAAACAATTCCACTTACAGAAACATCTGAAAAATATCTATAAATAAAAAGTAAAAGGAACAAACAAACTATATTTTTCTAGGGTGCCTCTATAAAGCTGCCCCACACACCCCTGGGTTTCAGTGACAGGGAGCTCACTCCCTCTCACAGCTGGCTATTCGCAGACGAGTTCCTTCTGCGCAGGGAAAAATCAGTGCCTGGGACCCTTCTAGAGCTCCAGAGAGCACCTCTCATCCTTGCCGTGACACTGCCTAGAGCCTTGTAGTCAGGGACCCAGCCCCCAGATTTCTCTCCTCTGGAATCCTAGCTCTCCCCTTTTGCCCACCAGAAGGACGGACATCGGAGCATCTGTCCTGCCCTCACTTCAGAGCTCCAATTTGCCATGCATCCCTGAGAACGCAGGGCACCGAGGCTGGGAGTGGCCGCCCTCCCTCGCGGAGGCTATGGAAAGCACACCTGGGCGGAGAAGCCGCTGTAGAAGGCGAACCAGATCTGGACCATCATGCAGGCCACCGACTTGTAGATGAAGTAGCGCAGGAACTTGCAGACGCGCAGGTAGGACCAGCGCCCGTGCACCAGCAGCAGCCGCTTCAGGAAGCAGAACTGGGCCAGCACGTAGTCGCTGTTCTGCACTGCCTGCATGCCCTCCTGACCCGCCAGCCCCACGCCGATGTCCGCAGCTGCGGGGGACACGCAGCCTGTCGGCCCGGGGCCGCCCCCAGCCAGCTGCCCGCCCCCCCCGCCACCTGCTGCCTACCACCCACTCTTGATCATGTTGATGTCGTTGGCGCCGTCCCCGATGGCCAGGGTCACCGCGCGCTGGTATTTCTTAACCAGCGCCACGATCAAAGCCTTCTGCTTGGGCGTCACCCGGCAGCAGATGACCGCTTGGCACCGAGAGGCCAGCTCCACGAAGGCCCGCTCCCGCCGCACCTCGGGGCTCTCGCTGGTGTGGGAGTCCGTGACCTGCGGCGCCAAGCCCGTGCTCCTCAGCTGGAGGCCGAGGGTCCGCCACATCAGGGATATGCGCCGAGCCCGCAGGAAGTCCGTCTTCTGCTCGTCGCGCTCCTGCCAGGACTCGTCCCCGTCCATGTTCACCTTGTGGACCAGCGCCCGGGGCTCCTTGCGCAGGGACAGCAGCAGCTGGTCCTGGCCACAGGGGGCAGGGGGCGCGTCACTCTGTGCGCACGCCTCCGCTCCGGGAGCGCCCCAGCCGGCCCCTCCTCCCAGGCCTCGCGTCCCAGCGCCAGGCTGGACTTGACCGCGACCCTCCCTTGCTCTGGCCCCTCCGAGAACCATCTCTCTGCAGCTCCTCCCAGCGCCCTCCCCAGTACCAGGGGCTCTGCCGGCGGCCCTGAGCGGACACTGACCAGGAACTCCCCGCTAATGACCATGGCCATCTTGACCTGTGGCAGGAACCGCTTCTTCCGATGGCCCTTGCCACCCGGCTCGTTGTTGTTGGTCTCCCAGTAGGCTTCCAGGATGCGACTGTGGGGGCCCAGCGGGAGCGGCTCAGCCGCACCGGCGGGCACAGGCTTCCCTCCACCCGCTTCCCGGCTGGACCTGGGCCCCCCCTGTGGGAGTCCAGCCAGGCAGAGACTAAGGGCCCTCTGCAGACCCCGGGAGCCACTCTTAGACCACAGGTGCTACCCCCGCCCCTCCCCCCCTTACGCGATCTCCTTCTCCAGAATGAGCAGGGGTGCAATCCCCGGCCCTCCCCCCCTTACACGATATCCTTCTCCTCCAGAATGAGCATGCTCTCCGAGAGCAGATGGCACGCAAAACCGATGTTCACCGCTGTCTCTGCAAACCAGCCCAGTTCAACACGGCGGCAGCCCCGCCCCCCGCGGGGGCCACGCCCACCCTGTGGTGTAGACCCAGGCCCCCACAATCACACCAGCATGCCCCGCCCCCTGGCCCTGAAGATTGGGTCAGAATAAGGCATGTGACTCGGGCCAGCCAATGACAGCCAGCCCTGATTTTTTGGCGGCAGCTCTGAGCAAAAGGGTCCCCACTTTGCCCCTCTGGCCAGTGAGGCTCCTGGAGGAAGGGAGTCTGGGGGCCACGGCCAAGGGGTCATTGGACATGGCACATGGCCTAGGCCCCATGGGCACTTCTGCGAACCCACAAAAATGATTTAATTTCTTTTAAAATCAGAAGAAAAAAAAGAAAAAAGATAATCCAGCTTGGATATTTGTCAGCTGCAAAATGTCATTTTAAGTATTTTGTGCGTATACGCCCGGCGCGCACGTAAGTCCTAATGCAGCCCTGCTGGGACACGCGGCTAGCGGGCCCCAAAGAACCCGCAGGGGAAAGGAGGAGATTCGGGGCTCGCAGGGCCCGAGTCCCTGGGCAACCTCCAGCATGCGCCCCAGAGTCCTCGGAGCTCTGCTTGGCCCATCCATCACACAGGGGTAACAAGGACCAAACGCTCAGGAAGTGCTCAGCACAGTGCCAACCCCCCCCCAAGGAGGTGTCGGGGGGGTGGGGGGACCCCAGCATTTTGAGTTGTTCCCATTTCTCCCTTCCCGGGACGAGGTGGAGGGCAATGCCGAGCCCGGGCAAGTGGGGCAGGCTGTCGGTGGCGCTCCAGGCAGGTGAGGAGCTCTCTCCCACCCATTCCCCTTCTCTCTGTGCTAGGCGTGGCCGCCCTGGGACCCACCTTGCTTATCCCCTGTGAGTACCCACACTTTGATACTCCCCTGCTTGAGGCACTTGATTGTGTCGCAGACGCCGTCCTGGAGTCTGTCCTCAATGGCCGTGGCTCCCAGCAGCTAGGGGTGGGGGGCAGGGGGCAGGAGGCAGACTGAGTGGGACTCGGCTCCCTGGCAGAGGTGGGGGGGGGCCGGGGCCCCGGCCTTCCGTGCGCTGCACACCTGGAGGCCCTGCTCCATCTCCTCGTACACCTGATGCAGGGCGTGGGCCCGGTTCTGCAGCAGGATGCTGGCCTCCTGGTGCCGCTGACACCACTCCTGGTACACACCCTCGTCCACCTCCTTGTAGGCCAGGCACAGGGTCCGCAGGGTCTGCTCAGCAAAGCACTGGCGGGGAGGCCGGGTGGGTGGGTCCTGGCACCACCCTGTCACCAACCACCCTGCCTCCCTGACACTCCTCCAGCCCTTCTCCCCGCTTGGGTCCCCCAAACCTTGACCCCCGACCACCGCCTAGCCCCCCACCCCCCCGCCAATGCTCGGCTCTGTCTGGCCTCCACACCTCTGCCCCTGCCCTTCCTCCTGCCAGGACCACCTCCCTTCGCTTCGCATGGCAACTTCTACCTGTTCCAAAGACCCTCCCTTCCCCAGTCAGGGCCCCTGCAGCCCTGACCCTCCCTCTGGTCCCTCGACTTAGAAATGTCTGGACCGAACACTCTGCCTCACTTCTCAAGGGGCCTCTTGGGGGTGGGCGGGAACAGAAAGGATCATGTGGGACTCCGTCTCCAGGGCCCCCAGGAGAACACCCGCTCACCTCTGGGACACCCCAAGGAAGGTACTCCTCATGGCTCCTTACTTTCTGCCTACCCACCCCCCACCCTGCCCCAGGTTTTTTGCCCCAGTGCCCAGCCCCAGGTCTCGCTTTTGTTCTTGACTGGAGGTGGGTCTGAGAGGCCAGGCTTGGGCACAACAGGGGCTCCTTGCACATCCGAAGGACCAGACAGGCCTTCGCTGCTCTTATGCCTCAGTATACCTATTTGTTCTACAAGGCAGTTGAGCCAAGCCATCTTGCCGAGCTCCTGGGCTCCGTGTCATTATTCTGTATGCATTTTCCCAGCTCAGAGTCAGAGATCAGAGGACTGCCCCCCAACTCCCTCCTCCAGCAGAGTTCCACGCCACCCCCCACTCCCAGCAGAGCAGGGCACTGTGGGAAGCTCCAAGTGGAGGGACACAGGACTTTCTTTCCATAAACACCCCCATTGGCCCCTGGGCTAGGTGATGCTGGAGACTTAGCAAAGCCCTTAGGAAGCCCTATAGGGTCAGGGCTGGGCCCGAGAGAGGACACCGGACGTGACATGACAGCCCTATGTTATGACTGGGGCAGGAAAATCTCCCTGGAGGTGATCTTGCATCTGAGGCTTGAGGACTAGAAGATCCTGAGTGACAGAGTGGAGGAAGGAGTTCCAAGCAGAGGGGTGATATGTGCAAAGGTCTTGAGGCATCATCTGAGCATGGGGCAAATTGCAAGCCAGAAATTGGGGTCCTGGGCAATCCCCTGGGGGCAAGGAGATACCAGGCTAGAGAGACCAGTAGGAAGCAGACAGAGCCTCAACAGCTGGGTGGAGGAGTTTGGGCGTCACCCATGCAGCAAAAGACTTGAGGCAAGGGGGGCTGAGCATGTCTTAGAACCCAAGCCTGGCTAGGAGAAGGGGGACAGTGTCCAGGGCCAAAGTCCAACCACAGGGCGTCCTTGTGTGACTTAGAAAAAGATGTCCCCTCTGAACAGAAACAGCTTAGAGTTCAGCTCCTTCCCAGCCGTGTGTGTGTGTTGGTGTGTGTGTGCGCGCGCACACGCGCACACACGGGGGGTTGTACAGTGCACAACCTGGACAACTGTACATGGCCAGCCTTGGTGCGTGCCCTTTCTCTGCACTCTCTCCTCCTCTTCCCCCTCTCCCTGTCCCTGTGCCCTCACCTCCTGCCCCCTGCACCCCACAGCCTCTCCTCCCACAGGGACTCACAGCCAAGGCCTCCTCTGTGGCCCACTCTTTCATGCCTTTCTTGTGCAAGCGTTCAAAGATGACCACGTCGGCGCCCTTGGTGTAGAGGTAGATGGAGCCCTCGGGGTTGCGGACTGCAGAGGGAGAGGCCTGGCTGCCCACAGGCTCTACCCTGCCAGCCCACCACACTCTCCCCTGCACGGGCACTTACCCAGCACTGACATGCGCTTGCGTATGCTGTTGAAGTCCATCATGGCCAAGACCTGGTACACCCGTTCCTCCCCCAGCTCCATCACTGTGATGCTGTCCTGTGTGCGTGCCAGGAACACGTAGCCAAAATTCCGGGCCGCCGTGACCAGCGCCTCCTCATCGGGGGATGCAGCCTGGTACACCAGCTGGTCTGGTCAGGGAGGGAACCACGGGGTGGGTGGGCGCCTTCCCTGGAGCTTGCCCTCCATCACGACCCGCCACTCATCTATAGCGGGTCCCACTTCTATCTCCAGAGCACGGGGGAGGAAATGGACCCAGCAGACAGTCAGCAGACATTTACGGGGTGGTGGTCTCTGGGGCTGGTATGACCTCTCAGCCCAGTAAAGGAAGGTGGGTGCTTGGGCCCCGGTCTAAAGGGCCTCTCCCTCCCGGCAAGAACAGATCTCGAGTCACAGGCCTGGACACCCCGAGATCCAGAAGGGGCAGGGCTTGGGACGTGAGAGGAGCCCTGGTGATGGGGCTGGGCAATCTCTAAGGCCAGGGGAGCGTGTCAGGGGCCCCGGGGCCTGAGCACCCTCCCAGGCGGGGAGAGGGTGGGTGCACTCACTGCCCCTCTCCTGCACCATCACGGTGTGGCAGACGGCCAGGAGGCGCCAAAACTCCCGCACCATCTCGTCCTCACTGTCCCGGACAGCGCGCATGAGCTTCGCGTTGCGGTAAAGAAACTTCCCATCGGCAAATTTGTTCCAGAGGTAGGGGTTCTCCTGTGGGGCGGGGTGAGGGGCAGGTGGGTTGTGGGCGCATCCCTGATCACCCCTGCCCCCCACCGTCCAGCACTGCAGGGTGGCCAGGGCTCACCTTATGTGGGGTCTCCTCCTCTTCATCCGGGCCTGGGGGAAAGACCCCCCATCAGGCCTCCACTCTCCTGGACCCACGGGGATCCCACAGCCCCCAATCCCCACTGTCAGGCTTCCTGGGGCCACTGGATACAGCGGACAAGCTGGGCCTGGGGCTCTGGGCCCGACACCCCAAGCAACCAAGGACCCCCAGCCTCAGCTCTGTCTTCTGCACAAAGGAGGCCAAGATGCAGCCACAGCCTCTGGGGGTCCCAGAGGACAGCCAAGGGCAGAACTCAGCCTCACAGAGCGAGCACTATGTTTGATCCCTTCATGATTATCTTCTTACAACTGGGACTTCGCTGCCTACTTTGGAAAAATTGGTGGATCCACATAAAAACCTGGGTCCTCAGCCCTTCTAGAAACATCAGAAGACCCGGCTGGGGGTAGATGCTGTTCGCCACAGACCCTGCTGCTCCCTATCGCCCCTCGGGCCCCGGCTGAGAGTGGGGTGGAATTTCCAGGAGGGCATGCGCCCATCCTGTCTCCCCCGTACCCCCCTGGGGCAGGCCCTCTTTCACCTCCTGGTCTCCACGTGCCCTAGTTCACTACAAGGACAGATGAGGCCCCGCCCACCACTGTTTGTGTGGTCTCCGAGCTGACAAAGGCTTTCCGGTTTCCAAACGACTGGGAGGAAACCAAAAAAGACTTCTCCCGTGACATCTGGAAATGTTGATGAGTGTCCACACAGAAGGTTTGTTTGTAAAAACCTGAAGAAGAGTCCTGTCCCGCCGTGGGGCAGGTGTGAGGACTGCTGACACCCGCGTCCGGAGCAGCCCGCCCGAGGCCCCCAGCACGGCTCCGCCAGCCCAGAGGCAGGGCAGACTCCTGGGCGCTGCAGGGGGGCAGGGGACCCACCGTAGATGACACCCCCGATGCAACATTTCTTGAAGGTCATGATGTTCTGGGTGAGGGTGCCGGTCTTGTCCGAGAAGATGTACTCCACCTGGCCCAGCTGGTCGTTGAGGCTGGTGCTGCGCGCCTTGGCAGGCTCGTCCTGCGGTGCATAGTACATCTGCACATCCCAGTTGATGAAGATGCTGTTCCCCAGGTAGATGAATTCGACCCTGCAACGCACGCCAGGTCATGCCCGGTCCCCCCACTCTGACGGAAGGGTGGGGGCGGTGGGGGCGGCCTGACTCACATGATGAACATGGCCATGGGCACCATGGCGCTCAGCAGGACGAGGAAGCCCCAGAAGATGAGGAAGGTCTCGGTGGCCGCGCTGTACAGGTGCTTGGAGGACACGTAGTGGTGCTTGGCCTTGAACTCCTTCACCTTGAACCAGAAGCCGAAGCTCAGTGCCATGGAGATCAGCACCAGGGACACGAAGATCTGCAGGGAGGGAGGGTGGTGGTGGAGCTCGCGCAGGTGGGGAGCCCCGGGTGGCACACAGACACCCCGGGGACCCACCAGCAGAGCCGCGAGGAGGGCCCCCTCCCCAGCCAGCCCTGCCCACGGGCCCAGCAGAGGGGCCTGGGGGCCAGGGGATGCGGGGGGGTGCAGGGGGGCCTGCAGGCAGCTCTCGTCAGGCCTTGTGGCTGCTATTAAATTATTATTACAATAACTTCAAAAGAGATAAAGTTAATTAAGCCAAAAGTTAAGGACCATTAACTGTCAGTGGAAGGGAGGCGAGCATTTCATTGCCTCCTGCATGTCTGGAAAACATCAAGATCAACATTTACTTCATGAGGACATTCCTACTTGACCGTTACCTTACAGGAAGACTCTGGCCCACAGGCCTATCCTGGGATCAGGCTGCGCGGCCCGCACAGCGGGGGAGTCCCCTCCCCGGGCGCCCAGGGCAGGGGCCCCTCACCAGCATCACCAGCCTGTTCATCAGATGGTCTATCTTGGTTCTTTTCAGATGGATCTTGCCGCAGTTCTTCATGATCTTGGTGTCGAAACCTGCAGGGTTTGCGTCCACTCACCCCTCTGCCCGTCCATCTGCTCGCCCCCCCCCTCCAGCCGCCCCCATGTCCGTCCACCGGCATACAACACTCCCTTCTTCAGCCGCAACGAGGGTGCTGGCTCCACCAGGCCTGGCCGGGGGACCTCCTGCCTGTGACTGCGGGGCCCCCACCGCCCCCCGTGCAGCCTGGTGGCCGTACCGGCATAGATGACCATCCCGTAGCAGGTGTCCGTGTTCCGGACCCTGCAGCCGCGCAGAAGCACATTGCCGCTGTCCAGGGGGTGCTTCCTGCCGTCCCACTCCAAGCACCCCACAAAGTGGTGCATCCGGCTGTTGGGCTCCTCGCACACCACCTTGCCTGTGGGCCAGTGGGCAGTCAGGGAGCCAAGGGCTTGGCTGGGCTGGGGCCACCCTCTCCAAGCAGGGGGGCCACCAACACGGGGCCTGCACCGCCCCACACTTGCCCCACAGGACTCACAGCTCCTCAGACAAGCCCTCCCCATGGAGCCCCCCTGCTCATGCGTATGACCCCGGGACATCACTGGACATTTATTCGGGGGTTGGTGTCATCGATGTCTGTGAGCTCTGTGGGAGAAGGCGCCAGCCTCGTCTCGGTCACACTGAGGCCCCAGAGCCCAGCCCAGCCCCTGGCATACAATAGGTGCTCAATAAACCTTTGAGGAGGGGAAGAAGGAAAGGACACCTACATCCAGCACCCTGTAACCACAGGGGACAAATACAGGGCACTGCAGAGTGTTCTAGAAGGTGGTGGGAGAGGGCCTTTCTGCCACCACCGCACAGTGAGTGGGTATCTCCAGCCCCACTTCTGTTTGAGAAACTACACTCGGGATCAAAGGCCGGCCCAGGGCAGGGTGAAAATGACAATGAGGTGTGGGCTGGGACCCTGGGAGGGAGCAAGCCGGGGGGCCATAGGCCTGCTCCAGCACTGAAAGCCTGAGTTTGTCCTGAACGTAGAAATGGCAGGCCTGGAGGGGGGGCAGGGGAGCCAAGGGGCAAGCCCGCGCCTCCCATCACCTCTCCAACCCAGTCTCCTCCTCTGATGGGGCCAAGCCTTGCAGGAGCCCAGGGGCAGCTGGTGCCGGTGGAGGCCTAGAGGGAGGTGTCAGGACCAGTGCGGCCGCCCTCCACATAAGCCAGGCTTTTCCTTGGAAATCGTGACAGACAGGAAACCAGCACAGGACACAGATTCTGCTCCAGGACCCATTAGAGTAATGTGCCTTTGCAACAAGCCAGGAAAAAATCAAGCATCCCCTGGCTGGGGCATGACAAACACCAACTGTGTCCACAGGTACGAAATGTCTTGCTTTCCAGGCAGAAAATAAGAAATGTCAAGGACTCCCTGTCCCATGGGCTTTCCCACCCACACGTAGGTCGTTAGCCCAGGTCCACAGACTGGTTTTTCGATTAAACATCCAAACGTGTTTGGCTTTCAGCGGCCGTGCGTTACAAGAAAGACGTAATGCCTGATAAAATGCTGCCCTTCGTATTGTTGACAACAGGAAACGCCCCAGCGCTTATGTCGTTAGAGAGGATGTGAAACAGGCCCGGGGCAAGCCCACCTCTTAAAGGCTGTCCTGGCCCCCAACACCCCCTAGACACCCCAAAACCATTCTCCAAGCCCAGCAAGGTGGGGAACTTTTGCACCCACTGCACAGAGGGGCAGATGGAGGCCCAGGAGGGGCAAACAGGTCTGCTGCCTCTCACCTTGGAAGGAAGCCATGTTCCTTATATTGGTCAGCTGGAGGTGGGTGACCAGCGGGGCCTGCCTGAACTTCAAGTTGGTCTCCCTGGTGGTGAGATGGGGAGCTAAGCACCTACTGTGTACCAGCTGCCAACCAGGAGGCTGAGGCCCAGAGAGCAGGGCCTTGCCTCACTTCCCGCGTTCAGCGCGGCGGCACGCGGTGCACACCAGGGCCTCCAGGAATGTCAGCGTGAAGGTGGGTCCCTTGCTCGGGGCTAACCTTACTGGCCCTGCTGGCTTGTGGGCGCCCCACAAGTGTTCATGGGGCCAATGACCAGAATGTCCAAGTGGGCTTGCTGTGCCAACTCTCCGGCTGTTGGAGAAGGTCTTGCACCCAGAGCCCCCAACCCCTAGTGATGAGCCCCTGCTCACCCGTCAATGTCTGTGGTCTCCACGTAGCACAGACTGCTGGGCTCCGTGCTGGCCAGCAAGAGCAGGTCGGCCTGGGGTGGGGAGGGGGGTCACGAGGAAACAGCACTGTCGGCGGGCAAGAGGCAAAGGAGCAGGAAGCCGCCCTCCCCCTGGAGCCAGCCATTGCTCACCGGGACGATGTTGTCTCTGTGCAGACACACCACGTCTCCCACACGCAGGTTCGCCCATTTCTTCCACAGGAACCTACAGTGGTGGGGGCGCGGTGGTGGGTGTGAGAGGGGACCCCTCCACGCCCAGCCTTGGCCACCCCCAGCTCAAAGAGCAGGGCTTCCCACCAGCAGCTGCCCGCCCCCAGTCCTGCCAGAAGGCCGGCCTTCACTGATGCCCCACTACCTGGTCCCTTCCAGGCCCTCCCCCTTCCTGCCCCTTTAGACCCTCAGCCTCTGACCCCACCGCAGGACCCATCCCAGGCTTGGGAGACAGTAGCCACTTAGGAAGGGCTGGCCAGGTCCCATGGGACCCAACCAGGTACTCCTCCCTGTCGCGCCCCCCCCACCTCCACCCTCGGGGCCACGGGCCTCACCTCCTCCCCACCAGGATCTGGCATGGCCTGTTGTTGACGATCCTGTCACTTCTGTGTCGCCCCTGGGCTGACGGAGGGCGGGTCAGAGGGACGGCCCCACCCCCAGCCAGGCCCCCAGGCCCCCCAGGTAAGGGCCCAGGTGCAGAGCAAGCTGTCCACACGGGCGTCTGTCCAGAGCACGCGGTGTCAGCAGCAGGAGGCAGATTCTGCTTCCACCCGTGTGAGTGCCCTCCCCCCACACCCGCCCCTGCGCCACGCACCCCCCAACCACACTTACGATGTCATCCACCAGGTCTCGGGTGGCCCGGATGATGAGGAGGCACATAAGCGGGGCAAAGAGAGTGAACCAGGGCAGCGTGGAGATCTCGGGGAAACCCTGACGTGACGGGTGGGTCATGCCAGCCCGTCCCCCAGGCACCACCCTGACCGCCTCCCCCTGCCCTCCCACCAAGCACCCCCAGCCTTCCAACCTGGCTTCCTGGGTCCACCTGCTGACCACCTCAGCCCAGGGCCAAACCTCAGGACTGGTCCTGCTCCAGAACTTCTCCCCAGCATCCCTTCCATGCCCAGCTCCCATGTCACCTCCTCCAGGAAGCCCTCTCAGCCCGAGCTGTTCCCTCCTTGGGGCCTTCACGCTCACTGTTCCCCTCCCAGTAACCCTGCTCCTCCCCATCACCTCCTCCAGTGGCCCATAGACCAGCCTGGGTGGGGAGTCCCTGTCCCCATTATTGGTGCCCACCACATGGTGTGATGTCACCCCACCAGTCCCCAAGCCACCTGAAAACAGGTGTCAAGGTCACTGCCAGGTCCCCGATGCCTAGCATAGGACCCGCACGCAGTAGGTGCTCAATAAGTTTTTATTGGATCTTTACTCAGAACAGAATGAGATGCTGGGTGAGGGTCAGGGTGCTCTGGAAAATGCACCCCCGCTGAGGGAGGGAGGTGCCCATGCCCAGACCACGCAGGCAGTGAGAAGTGGCCCGGCATGAGAACATGCTCTTGACCCCTGCTTCCTCCTTGCCCTCTGGGGTCAGCTCCTTGGACCTGAATGAGCTGTGCATGCACCTTCATCATGCAACATATATTGAGCACCTCCTCTGTGCCAGGCCCTGCGCTGGGCAGTAGGGCCCCAGCGATGAGTGTGGGAGCCAGACACTGACCCACTAAGCACACAGACTAGAGCGCAGTTAAACTGCCCTGGGTCTACAGAACCCCGGGGCAAGGGATGTCAGGGAGGGCCCCGGGAGAAGGCACTGTGAGCAGGGGCTGACCCCTGGGGCTGCCCCCACCCTGCCACACCTGGAGAATGATGATAAAAAGGAAGTAGAGGTTGGAGATGCGGCAGAACTGCTCATACAGGTTCAGGGGCAAGAAGGAGAAGACATTGTACTTGGCAGTGTAGATGACATTGCTCTGGAACGAAAGCCGGCACAGCATTGCAGCCCAGGCCAGGGGGCCCCCCACCTACCCTTCCTGCCCTCTGGCTGCCACCAGCATTGACTGAACACCTGCTGAATGCAAGGTCTCGAGCCCAAGTTTACTGAGCGCTCGCTGAATGTCAAGCCTTAAGCTGGCATTTCTGAGCCCCACTGGGTGCGAAGACCCACGGGGCAGAGCCACGGCCTCCCTATTCCCTAGAGTGAGACACATGCAACGGGTTCGGGGTAGAGCCCCATGGACGTACTGCACTTTCAAGGGTTCTTATGAACTCATCACAGTGGCGGGGCTCCAGCCCTCAGGGTTAACGTGGGGGGGCGGGGTGCTGTGGGGGGGCCGGAGCCGTGAGACCGGGGCTGCCCACCTTATACTTCTGCCTCTGCCAGCACAGGAAGCTGTTCTTCTTGAACTGGCTGTTGTAGGTCCTGCTGTTGGCTTTCACCTCCCAGGTGAATGCTGAAGCCAGAGCGAGCAGGGCATCGCACAGGGCCGCGGACAAACACAGGCTAACGACACCCCAGCGGAGGGCTAATGGGCCCCCAGGGGACCCAGCACTGGGGACACTCAGCGCATGGCCAGGGAGCCGGTAAACAAACGGGATGGCCCCTGCAGCCCCCACCTTCCCCCCACCCCTGCAGGAAGCTTGCCAGGAGCCAGAGGGAATCTGAGGAGTGGGCCCTGGCCTGGGCCAACCCCTAGGCTACAAGAACAGGCTCTGGGAGACCCAGGAGGTAAACTGAGGCCCGGTGATGGGCTCCAAGGCGATGGGCTGCAGGCCCTGAATCCCAATCTGGCATTCAGTCATCAGGTTTGGGACTATTTATAACCCAACAAGAGCCCTACACTGGGCCTGGTGTGTGGGTTTGAGGGAGCCTCCTCGGCCACTACACTTTGTAATGCCCCTTCGCCCCCTCGCCCAGACTCAGGACACGCACCTGTGTTCTTCTCCTCCTCGAAGTCTTCTTGGTAGGCGAGACTGCCCATGCTGGTGGGGCTGTGGGGAGAGGGCCCAAAGTCACACCAGGGGCCCAGCCCTTGCTGGACCATCGCCCCATTCTCCACCCTCTTGGGGACTCACGGCCTGAGAGTGGACCCTCTAAACTGTCACCTCCCACGACCACCAGCTGCCCCACCCCAGGGCTCTGAAGTCCCAGCCACTGGCTGTGTCCTTCTCCGTGTGTCCTCAGGCCCAGGGGGGGCCACACTGACCCCCAAACCTACAACGGCCTCACATCCAGCAGCCCCCAAGCTGGCAACCTGCCTCGTCTTCCCGCATTAGAGCCCAACCCCCAGGAGGAAGGGCTCCCGCTCTGGCCACTGCTCCCCACCCCATCACCTCTCCCGGCATGCCCACACTCAGCCCTTGCCTGGTCGTCCTGCACCTGCTCCTGCCCCAAACCCCGCACCACACACATGCCCAGCCCACTGAGGTGCTCCATCAGTGTTTGTTGACTGACTAAGTGGGGCCCCAGGGTTCTATGCTAGATCTGGAAGGGTGTATATGAGGGCCAAGCTATTCAGAGAGGTCTGAGGCTGCCATGGGGAAGATGACGGCGGACACCGCACCTTCTACGGAGCCTGGAACGCTCCCACCATCCAGTTCATGCTTGACTGTTGCCCTCCCATGCCAGGAACTTGAGTCTAACCAGGGGACCCTCAGCAGCTCCCCAAGTGACCCTCCACCCCCCCGCACGCACGCAGCAGCTCCCCCCTCCCGGAGCCCCCTGACAGGCTGTTTCCTCCACCAGGAGTAGCTTTGCCCAAAGCCTGGCCGGTGCCTCCTCACCCTTCTGGTTTCAGCTCATACTTCTCAGACCGTCCACGCTTGTTCAGGTGCCTCCTCTGGGCTCCCCCTCTACCTGGAGCGTCCCCCATCCCAAGTCTGATCCCCCCTCTCTCCTCTGCTTCTCTCCCTGTTGGGGCTGCCTGCTGAAGTCAGAAACTTTCAGGGCTGGCCTCTGAGTCCGCAGCGTCCTCAGGCCCCGAGGGGGAGGACCTGGCTCAGAGCCAGTTCCATTGCTCCCGGGAGCCTGAGCCGGGCCAGTGCCCATTCACCAGATGAGGAAAAAGTAAGGCCCGGGGTGAGCGAGGCTTAGCCAAGCGGGACCCAGAGGCCGGGGAGACCCAGCGGGGGGCAGATGGGGCCGGAGGAAGGCCTCGGTGGGCAGAATCCACTCCAAGTTCATGTGGGGGCAGGAAGACGCCCCTTCCCCCCCAGGGCGGGCTTCCCCTTCCTTCCCACGTCCCGCTCACCAAGAAGACTCGAGCATCCCGCCTCGGCGGTGGCCCAGACGCCGGAGCCTCCCTGGACGGGAGACCTCGGTCCACAAGACCCCGGGCGCTGCGGCTCCCCCACTGGACTCCGCCCCGCGCGAACCTCGGGCGACGCCCCGCCGCGGCCGCCGCGACCTCACACCCTCAGGCTGCGCGGAGTCCAGAGAGGGTGCGCGGGCGCCGGGGGACGCACAGCAGCGGGAGCGCCGCCGCTCACCTGCGCGGGCCGGGCCGGCGGTCCGCGGGTGGCCAGGGCGGCGGACGTGGCGCAGCTGTTAGCCCGATGCCAACCGGCCTGAAACGGGCAGCGCGGGAGCGGCGCGGGAGGGGGCGGGCCCAGGGCGGCCCTGGGGGCGGGGCCTTCTAAAGCTGGGCGGACCCGAGGGGCGGGGGCCCGGGCCGGAGGCAGTCCTGGGGGCGGGTTATGTAAATGATGGTGCCGGAGGGGGCGGGGCGGCTTTGTAAGCCTGGCCGGGGCGGGGGCCGCCTGGGGACTGGACTCTGCAAATGGGCGGGCCCCGAGGGGCGGGGCGGGGCGGCCCCGGGGGAGGAGGGGCTTCTAAAGCTGGGCGGGACCCAGTGGGGGCGGTGGCCCGGGTGGCCCTGGGGGCGGGGACTTGTAAAGCTGAACTGGCCCAAGGGGCGGGGCCTGGGGGGGGCGAGGCTGAGGGGGCGTGGTCTCGCCGAGAGCTCCCGGTTCGGGGCGGAGCATGGGCAGGGTTTCACGGGGCGGAACCAGGCCGGAAGTCAAGGTGGGGCGGGGCGGAGCCTTACGGAGAGGGCCAGGTAGGGGGCTCCCGGCAGAGGTGGAGCCTGGGGCGGTCTCTGTAGTGTTGCCAGCCAGAGGAGGGTCGGGCCCAGATCCAGGGTTGGGGCTCTGCAAGGAGTTGAGGGGTGTCAAGGTAGGGATAGGCTGGGGCTGGGGAGGGTCAGTGGGCGGGGCCTTGCACAGCAGGGCCAGAGTACCAATGGACCTGTAATTTAGGAGCAGGGCCTCCGTAGGGTGGATTGGACCTGGCCATGGTTGGACGGGGCCGGAGTGGGGCTAGCAACACAGGAAAGACGCACAGGTGATCACAGGTCTAAGCTGTGTGCCTGGGTTTTCCCTCACTCATCCTGTACCTGTTTAATGAGCACCTTCTATGCGCAGGTGTAGTGCTGGGCGCAGGGCTGGGGAGGCCGTTAGAGGAAGCCCACGAGGTTCTGGCCCGGTGTGTGCTCACCCAGCGGGCGGCCAGGGCTCCCGGGGCCTTCCTGAAGGTGACGGCGGTGGGCGACAGCCATGAGGCAGGGTCATCTCCAGGCCCCAGAGGTGGGCGACTTGAGCCCGGGCGGGAGGGGCTGCTGACGCTAGGGCCTCCCTGAGTGCGGTTCAAGGGAAGGGGCAAACTCCGGCAGGCAGAAGAGATGATTGAGCGCTGTCTCTCCTACTTTCACTTTTAGAAACCATCTGAAGTGTGGAAATTAGGAAGGTAGTTGGTACTTTCCCACCCTCACCACCCTTGTCTCCTAGTCCCGGGGTCCTCCCTCTGGCCCATTCCTGATCCAACAGACCTGGGACCTGCGCCTGATTCCATGCCCCAGCCTCCCATCTCTGCCGGGGGCCCGGGGCCCTTCATAGCAACACCTGTGAGCATATGTTGGGTGAATGAACGAGTGAGGGCGTGAGTGAGGGTGTGAGGACAGCACGGAGGATGTGACCTCCACCATCAGGGCAGCAACCCCCCTACTCCTTGTTCCTTGGAAGCCTGGTCTGCACACCTTCCTTGGCCTGGGGAGGGGAGAGCAGGTAAACCTCCCATTTATTCATTCACTCGACAAACACCCAGCGCCGACCCCGTGGTTAATGGGAAAGACCCTGGGGGGGGGGGACAGCGCTTGCACAGATTGTTCTAATAGTCTTTAGGAGAGAGACCTTGCTGGGGCGCCTGGGTGGCTCAGTCGGTTAAGCGACTGCCTTCGGCTCAGGTCATGATCCTGGAGTCCCGGGATCGAGTCCCGCATCGGGCTCCCTGCTCGGCGGGGAGCCTGCTTCTCCCTCTAACCCTCCCCCCTCTCATGTACTCTCTCTCTCTCTCATTCTCACTCTCTCAAAAAAAAAAAAAAAAAAGGAGAGACCTTGCTGGGTCCGCGAACCCCATTCCCTCCCTGGGATTTGCAAAGGCCCTGCAGCCTCCAAGACTCAGCATCTTCGGCCAGCTGAAAGCTTGCACCCCTCCTCCCGGTCTCCCTGGGGGGCTCGGTATGTTCTGGGGAGGCAGACACCACCAGAAGCACAGAAACAGGGGGCACCTGGGTGGCTCAGTCAGTGAAGTGTCCGACTCTTGATTTCAGCTCAGGTCTCGACCTCAGGGTCGTGGGATCCAAGCGCTTTGTCCGGCTCCGCGCTGGGCAAGGAGCCTGCTTGAGATTCTCTCTCCTGCTAACCCCCTCTCCAAACAAAAACAAAAACACAGAAACAGGCCTGTGCCGTTTATTTAGGAAACAACTACTTATTTACAGAAGAGGTGCGAGAAAGTCAGACGGTCACAAGAACGTCAGGGGGACACAACAGTGGCTGGGTCAACACTCCCCCTGGAGGGCCCCCCAGGATCCAGAGAGCAACCAGTCCTCAGCTGCAATGGCCCAGGACACCTTGGGGGTCAGAGGCTGCTGTGTCCTCAGCCTGGGACCCTGCTCTCTGGGCCTCCAGCAGAAGCTTGACAGAGACGGGGCCTCCTCCAGGCAGCCCTCCCTCCAGCACCTGTGTGTTCCTGCCTCCAGACCCAGGGCACTCCAGTACCTGCCCCTCCACGAGGTTATTTCTGACTTCACTTCCCATTATAAATGAACTAAAGGTGGAGACCCGAGCAGCCCTGGCCCTTCCACCCCCAAGAGGCACCATAATTCACAAAGCTGCCAATTCCATCGCTGGGCATTGTGCACACAAGCATGTCCTGGGAGCAGCAAACAGGCACACGGGGGGTGAGCGGCCAGGCCACCCTTCCCTTTCCATGGGCTCCTCAGACATGCAAGGCACAGTGGCTCTCTGGGTCCCCCCGGGGCCCTCCACGCCCAGCCCCCCACCCCCCTGGGCCAGCAAGGTGGACTCCACTCACAGGACATAGTTACTGCCTCCACCATCACAGCACCCCCACGGGGCCAGGCCCCCCAGGGCTCTAGGTCTGCACCCCTAGGGCAGGGTGGCAGGCCTGGGGATGGCTCAGGCACCGGGGATGGTTCCCAGGAAGATAAACAAGGGTGTGCTGGTTCCCCGGTTAGCGGCACTGCTGCTGACCGCGGGGCTCACCTGGCACCAAGAACACCACCAGACGCCACGCAAGCTAAAATCCATACAAACATTTATTCTGTCCCTGCCTCGGGTTAGGGGAGGGGCTCAGAGCCCTAGGGAGGCTGCAGGCCTTTACAGACAGCCCCTGGGGAGGGTGGGGCCCTGGCGGAAGACAGGGTCCAGAGGCTGATGGGCCCTGGAGGGGTCCGGAAGGCGAGGCCCTGGGAGGCTGGCTTGGTTCCCAGAGGTCACGGAGTCCAGGTGGGTTTGGGGAGGCCAGTTCCCACCCGTCTGGCCCAGGCCAGGCTGGACTCTCGGTCCTGGTGGCTGCCAAGGGTACAGCTTGTCAGCTCCCGGCCCCCCAACTTCTCCCCCTCCCCCGCCCCCAACAGGAAAGGCAGCACCAGGGTCTTGCTTCTCCGGGTGGGGAAAAGACAACTGTGCGAGTCGTCAGGTTTAAATTACAAATAATAAAAATAACAATACAAAATAAAAAAAAACCCCTGTCTCAAACACACCCACGAAAAGCCTGCCCGGCAGGAGGTGGAGCAGGAGGTCTGGCTGCCAGGGACGCAGCGGGGGCCCGGGGGGGGGGGGGGGGGGGGGGGGGGGGGGGGGGGGGGGGGGGGGGGGGGGGGGGGGCCGGGGGGGGGGTCTGTCCCGGCCTCCTCCGGGAGTCAGCAGCAGTCTCCAGAGGACAGAAGGCGGGGGCGGCGCAAGGGACCAGGTGGGGGGCAGGGCTCCAGGTGGTCTCGGCGTGGGGCTCTCGTGCCGCCGGCTCGTCCCGCTCTCTCTGTTTCCGTGTCTTGGCGACGTGGACAGGGTTAGCTCTCGAGATTTATTGCACTGTTTTGGAAGAGGCCTGGGGTAGAGGCCGGGCCGGGGCTGTGGGGAAGGCGGGCAGGCGGCAGCGGTCACCGCTTGGTCTTGGCGTCTTCTCGGATCTTCCAGATCACCAGGTGCATGCAGGCGCTGGCGTCCTCGCTGGAGCTGTGCCCATCCACTGCAGAGCGGGAGGGGGGTGCGTCAGGGTGGGCGCGCCCCCCAGGCCCGGCCCCGGCGCCCCGCCGCCCGCCGGCTCACCGTTGTCCTGGATGATCTGTCTGAGGTAGTCAGCCATGAGGTTCCGCAGGGAGCGCTTGTAGGGGAGGCCCAGGCGGTGCGGGAAGAGCACGGAGGTGTCCACCACGGTGCTGTGGATGACCTGTGGGCGGGCGGCTGGGCAGAGACCGCAGGGGCCAGGGCCCCAGGGAGCCAGGGTAGGAAGGTGCCCGGGGTCGGACCACCCAACTCCTGCCCCTCCCCCCACCCTGCCGAGGGCCCCGGGCCCAGGACAGCCCCAGCCACCCTCCCAGGACCCTTGGCAAGCGGAGCCCAGGGGCGGGCAGTACCTTCAAGGCCAGCAGGTCGCTCTCCAGGCTGTGTCCGATGAGGACGGTGTCGGCACTGAACATGCTCAGCAGGACGGCCTGGACGTCCCGGAGCGAGATGCTCGTGTCGGCGAGGTCAGCCTCGGTCACCCCTGAAAACCTGCAGTGGGCAGAGTCGGGGCCTGAGGGTAGCTAGAGAGGGATCTGGGGTTCCCAAGCCCAGAGCCGGGCGGGGAGCGGGGGGCTCGAGGCCGCACCTGGTGTTGTAGTCAACGATCTCGTTGTCTGGCTTGACGAAGGTGTCGTAAACCACCTGCATGTCCGTGTCCACCACCGTGACGCGCGTCAGCTCCAGGCCGTACGTGGTGTAGGACTGTGCGGCCGGGAGGGCTCATGTGACAACGCGCCCACCCTGCCCCAAGCTCTGGGGGAGCTCCCGGGTGCTCCTCTGGGAGCCGGAGCAGGCGTGAACCCAGGGTGCCCTAAGCCCCAGCAGCCCCCCCGGTGTGCACGCCAGTCCCGAGTAAACACAACTAGGTCGCCAGCGCGCCTGGGGCGAGCCGAGGGCTGAAGCCAGAGCTTCTGCTTGGCGGTGGGGGAAGAGCCCGCTCTCACAGCCCAAGCCAGAGAGAGACCAGCACCCGCCGCTGCCGCGGCTCTGCCCCTCACCTGCTCTATCCTGAGACCCACGCCGGCTCCAAGCTGAGGGTGCAGGTGCCCGGCCGCCACGAGCATGCGCGGCACGCAACTCACCATTTCACAGTCGAGGGCGAAGATCCCTGGGTGAGCATCTTCCGAACGTTCTTTATCGAAAGTCTTCACAAAGCCTTCGAGGTTTTCCTTCCGGCCATCCTGCACATGTTGCTGCAGGCAAGATGTGAAGGCTGGTGAGCCTGGCGGGCTCGGGCCGGGCGGTGTCTGGGGGACGCCCCCCCCTCCAACGCCACCGTCAGAGGCACACAGATGAAAGCACAGGGAAGGGGGTTCAGGGCTCTGGCCCAGCTGCACCTCCTTTCCAGCCAGGCGGGAAAGCGCCGAGCAGGGCCCGAGAGACCTACCTTGGCGACCTGGCAGCCGGTGGAGCCAATGGCGGCCGAGCAGCACGTGTACTGAGTCTCCCAGCCGCCAGCCACTGGAAGGGAGGTGGCGGTCAGGGCCAGGGGGGCCCCCAGGCGGCCCCCACCCCATGCCGGCGCCCGAAGGCCCGGGCAAAGGCTTCCCAGCAGAGGAGGGCGGGCCCCGTGAGGCAGGCACTTCCAGCCTCCTTCCCTGGGGGCGCGGGAGGGCTCACCTCGGTTCCGGCGGAGCCGCCCCCAATGGTAATAGCACTCCTCCTCCCGCACACAGCGGCCCGACGGGGACACGAGGTACTCGGTGCCACACCGGCAGCAGATTCTGCAGGACGCTGTGAGGCAGCAGGAGGGCTGAGGCAGCAGGCCCCGAGCCCCCCTGCGTCTATCCCTTGCTCACCTTCACGCCCCCTCTACCCAGACGGCCCTCCGCGAGCTGCCCCCAGCCCAGCCCGCCCCCCGAATGTGGGTGCTCAAGCCCACTCACAGTCCTTGGGCTTCTTCTCCTCAGCCGTGAAGATGACGGCGCCCCCCGGCCGCTCAGGGTGCGGGAAGGGGTAGCCGTTCTCTTTAAGCTGGTCCTCAGTGAGCAGGTACTCCTTGAGACGACCATACAGGGCAACCCCTGGGGACAACCAGGACAGGCGGTCATCCCACAGCAAGGCCGGGGAGGGCCGGACAGGCGAGCAGGGGGGCAGGCCTGGCGGGGGCTGGGGCGGAAATGCTGCCACAGGGGCCACCACTGAGCCCCCGAGTGGCCCGGCCGGACCGCTGGAGGGACCAGGCTCACCTTTCAGATCCTCCACCCGGGGGCTGCTCGGGCGGCTGAGCGAGAAGCTGGTCTTGGTGGCCAACTTGCCCCCCAGCACCATCTCATGGGACACAACCCTCCGGCCACCGGTTTCTGGAAGTAGGGGGAGGGTACAGTATGCTCAGACTCCCGAGTGCACCCCTGCCCTCCGTGGTGGCCTGTCCCCTGGCCGGCTCCTCAGCACCCAGTCAGGAGAGGCCTGACCGCCTGTGACCTGGGGGCAGCCACCCTGCCCCCACCTTAACTCTTCTGGAAGCAGCTGCTGGTGGTGGTCCTAAGGGACGGGGACGATCTAAGGGCCCTCGGGGGCTCCATGGACGCTGCCCAGAGGAGCTGTGGGGACGGAGGCGGGAGCAGGAGAGCAGGGAGGTGTGCACACTGATGGATTAATGTGCCTTCAGAGGCAGTTAGGAAACGTCCTCCCGGAGCTGAACGTGCGGAGCAGGCCGTGTGAGCTTCGCCTCTGACGAGGTCGCCCCATTAGCGGGGTCCCTAGGCTCAAGAGAGCCAGCTAGCTGAGGAGGGTGGTTACTAGCGAGAAGAGGCGGTGGTGAGGCCGTGGGGTCAGCATCATCGTCCGCAGAAGCCTGCCGACCAGCCGCTGGCCCCACCACAGCGTTTCCCGTGGCCTTCTGTCTGAGAGTCCCCACGCTCCGAGCAGCAAAGAGCCAGCCGGCCAGGGCCCCACACCCCCACTCCCTTGCCTGGGGAGCCTGGGATCCTGCGCTCAAGGCACAAACCTGACTCTTCCAGACGTGAACTCCCCGGCCACCCGCTCTCCCCCCACCCAATTTACTGTTGAGACCAGGCGCGGAGCTGGGGACCAGGCCCCGCAGCTTCTTGAGGGTGTTCACAGCGACATTCAAGTAGATGTTCTTGCTGGGGCTGCGGTCGTAGGCCACCTTCTCCTCGTTCAGCGCCTGAGGACAGACATGCCGCTCAGGCCTGCTGTCCTGCGCTTGGGGCCTGGGAGCAGCCCCTCAGCCTAGGACGCGGCCACCTGCCAGGGTCACACACCTTCTCTATGGCTTCCTGGTTTGAAGAGCAGAACTTGAGACACTCCTCAATGAACAGGTTCAGATACCGCTGGCGGATGACTGTGGGGACTTTGCCCCCAAACTCTTTGGGGATAACGGGCTTCTTTAAACTCTAGGGAAGACAGACCTGTTGGAGGTGGCATGTCCCAGCCTGGGCCTCTAATGCCATTTCTCAAACCCACAGGGCATCACACACGCAGTGGACCCTGCTGGGAACTCCGGGCTCTGGTGACCAGGAGGGTGGCCGCTGGCTCATCAGCGCCAACAGACCACCCCAGCAATGTGGACAGAGGGGAAACTGAGGGCGGCAGGGGGAGGAAGGCACCCGTGCCCCCCCTGCTCAGTGTCTCTGAACCGCA